CCCCTGCCGCCCCCCTCCCCCCCGCACCAGCACCAGAGCTCCCGGCTGCCCCTCCTCCACTGACCCCACCCGCCCCCACGTCCCCGCCCAGAAGCACTTACTTCCCCCGGCAGTGAGCAGCCGTCAGCACGACGTTCTCCGCCACCAGGAACCCGCCGCAGAGAGTCGTCCTGTTTTTACGTTGGACACGCAGAAAGGCCATGTAGGGCCTGGAGTGGGGCTTGGATTCCCATCCCCCGACGATCTCACCTGGGGAGAGAACAGGTTCATGCCAAGGGCCCCCGCACATCCCTGGCTTGGCACTGGGGGAACCCTGTCCCTCCTCAGCTCATGACTCAATTCAGGTGGGTGAAAAAGCTCGCCAGGCGGTGGAAAGGCACCGAGGAGGACAGCCACAGGGACCAGTAAGGAGAAACCAGGCAGGGACAGCTGAAAATCTCTGACCATCAGAGAGATGTTGGACGTTGCGATGGCCAACCTGCTCGCTTGGCTTTAACCCCGGCAATCCCCCATTGAGAGGTGCCCCTATGGAGGGACCCAACGCTGGTTCTGTGGGGTTCATGGGCTCCTGGGAACAGGTCAGAGCTAGGGGCCAGGTTCCAGTCGATATCAGGGCAGCCACGGCGGGAGATGACCCAGCTGAGCTACAGATGTGGTCAGAAATCTGGCTACTTAAAGCCAGACAAGTGGGTTCATGGCTCCCATTGGAGTCTTTCCGGAGACGACTCGGGAATATTCGTTTGTCGTCTGTATCCCAGAGGCCATTTTCAAAATCCATTCCTGATAGTTGCATATGGGGCACAGACCCCAAGACCCTCCCCTGAAGAGCTTCCATTTCCAGTAATCGCACTGACAAAGGGAGTCCTGGCTCCTCGCACCCTGCCTGCTCTAACCACTAGACCCCACTTCCCAGGTGGGGAGAGACCCCTGGAGGCCTGGTTCGGAACCTCGAATTAAAAGCCCCCTGATCCTCTTTCCTACTCTCAGTCTCTCAGGGGCTTTAGCGCCGTACCTGCACCAGCACCGAGGATCTCTCACCCCCACCTCCGAACCGCCCCTAGCTGGGTCCTAGGAACCAGCCATCGTCCTGGCAGAAGCATCTGACTCTGGGGAGGAGCTGGGATTTGCAACCAGCCCAGAGAGTTCCCCACAATCCCTGATCCCCGCCCCCCACTCACCAGCCCCAGCACCGGGGGGCAGGAGAAAGGCCACGGGCAGCAGGATCAGGAGCAGCAGCATCACCGTCTGGAGAAAGTGACACGGCTTGAACCTCAGCCCCGGGGGTTTATAGAGCCAGCGGCAAACGGCCGTTCCCGTGCACTCGGCTCCTGCGGGGAGGTGACACAATGCAGGGCCCACAGAAACCTCAGGGTCACGTTGGTGACACACGGTGGGGGGGACAGAGGATGGAGGGGGTGGCCAAAAAACAGCCTCTTTCTAGAGGAAGGAGCCCCGGGTAAACCTCCTCTTCCCACCTCCCATTCCCTGGGGCCTGCCTGGATCCTGCACCCCTGGCATCTGGTTCATTTGAAGCTCTCCCATCTCCTAGAATCCCAGAATCCCAGGCCTGGCGGAGACCTCAGGAGGCATCGAGTCCAGCCCCCTGCCCAAGGCAGGACCAACCCAACTCAACCATCCCAGCCAGGGCTTGGTCAAGCTGGGACTGAAACACCCCTAGGGATGGAGATTCCACCCCCTCCCTAGGGAACCCAGCCCAGCGCTTCCCCACCCTTTTCATGCAGGGGTTCCCAGGCTTTTCGAGCTTATGGATCCCTTTTCAATGTATTACACTTTCATCAACCCCCCTTGCTGTGGAAGAAAGACAAGAAAAGAAAAACAAGAAAAAAGAGAGAGGAAGAAAAAAGAGAAAAAAGAAGAAACAGAGAGAGAATAAAGAAGGAAAAAAGAGAGAAGGAAAAAGAAAAAGAAAGAAAAGAAAAAGAGAGGGAAGTGAAAAAAGGAAAAAGAGAAGAAGGAGAGAGTGTCAAGAGAGAAAGAAAGAGAAAAAAGGGAGAGAAACAAGAAAAGGAGAGAGAAAGAGAAGAGAGACACAGAAAGGAAAAGGGGGGGAGAAAATAGAAAAAAACTAAAAAGAGAGAGGGAAAAAGAAAAAACAAAAAAGAAAAAGAGAGGAGAAAATGAGAAAAAGAGCGAGAAAAAGAAAGGATCGGGCCCGCCAGGGTGGGCCTGATCCTTATTTTTAAACTTTCCACACACCCCCTGCAGTACTGTCACAGACAACCAAGGGTCCATGGACCACAGACTGGGAACCCCTGTCCTAGGGAATTCGGTTTTCCTAGGATCCAACATTTCAAGCATTTCTCTCACCCCTTCATTGTCATTTCTCCACATCTCTTGTGGCCCTGGATCAATAGCCCAACTAAAATCAAGGTGGCTTATGTCGCCTAGGGTATGTGTAGACTGCATGCCTCTGCCGACGAAGCATGTAAATTAGACTACCCGACAGTCAATGAAGTGGGATTTAAATACCCTCGCCTTCATTAGAATAAAAATGGCCGCCGCGCTGTGTCGGCTCAGCTGATCGTTGGCACAGCGCGCACGTTAAGACACGGCTCGGTCGACAGGCGAAGCCTTTGTTGAACCCTCCTGTAAACCTCCTCCTTACAGCACAAGTTAGCAGATTAAAAACCAACACGCTGCTTTCAATTGTCCGCAGTGCGTGCTAGTTTTTGAAAAGCTGGCACACACGGGTAAACTCCCCTCAAAACTCCAGCCATCTGAAGAATTGGGCTGTGCCCACAAAAGTTAATGGTCCCAGCTGCATGTTTTGTTAGTCTATAAAGTGCTACCAGACCAGTTTTTGTTTTTTAAGTTTCTCCTGCACAGACTAACTCGGCTACCCCCGAAGCTTCCCCTCAATTCTGATAGTTGTCAGATACTACTGGGTTGTTCTTGTGCTCCGGTAAAAACACTGGCTTTTAAAAGGGCAGGTTAGTGTATCTTAAACATGTTAATGTCGCCAAACATCTACAAAATGTTGCTATGAAAGAGATTTGATTGTGTCCCAGCTCTTCAGTGCTCGGTTTTACGGCTTGCTCCGGCTGTGTTTTTTCAGATAATGAGGGTGTGTGTTTATCTTAGAGGAAGTGTCTGTTATAAAATAAGAAGTTTTCCCTTTAATTTTTGTAACTAGCTAATTTTTAGAAGCTGCCTTTGTAAAGTCATCCAGTGTAAAACCTGCTCATATGGGTTCTTTTGCACTTTTATTGTCGATGGCGGGGAAAGGACTTTGAGATTTTACAGTGTTTACAGCCAAAGTCATTTTATGGCTTGTTATCTTACTGAGACATTGTGTGTTTAGACCATGGGATTGGCAGACTTTATCTTAGAAGAGGTGCCTCTGCTTGTAAAAGTTATAATCTCTTTACAAAAGTTTTCCTTTGGACAAAACTTAAAAACTGAGCCAGTGGCTGTGGCAGAAGTAGAATATTTCTGGAGGGATGCTGTATTTTGATATTCGCGTCAACCAAAGAATGAAGAAACAAGCTTAGCGTTAAAACAGTTAGAAGGGTTACTTATCTACTTCCTTCACACAGGGGTCTTCTAGGAACAGGACATGTTACTGCCTAATTTCTCCCCTGTGTTGTAAAACAACTCTCTAAAGGGTGTTTTAATATAACGTATAGCCGGCAATATTACAATTTCTTCACAATTGACGTATCTGTAAGCAGGGGTCGATCGTACTAAATTGTCTAAATTAAAATTTGCAGATGATACTAAACAGCTCAAGATAGTTGAGACCAAAGCAGACTGGGAAGAGCTTCGAAAAGATCTCGCCAAACTAAGTGATTGGGCAACAAAATGACAAATGAAATTGAATGTTATAAATGTAAAGTAATGCATGTTGGAAAAAATAATCCCAGCTACACATACGATATAAAGAGGATTAATTTAGCCACAACTACTCAAGAGAGAGATCTTGGAGTCATTATGGATAGTTCTCTGAAAACATCCACTTAGGCTATGTCTAGACTGCAAGCCTCTTTCGAAAGAGCGCGTCTAGACTGCACGCGGAATTTCGAAAAAGCAAGCCGCTTTTTCGAAAGAAAGCACCCAGTGAGTCTGGATGCTCTCTTTCTAAAAAGCCTGTTTGCTGTCAAGAACGCCTTCTTTCGAAAGAGCACTTTCGAAAGAAGGCATTCTTCCTCGTGGAATTAGGTTTACCACCGTCGAAAGAAAAGCCGCTTTCTTTCGATTTAATTTGCAAATGGGTGTGGATCTTCTTTCATTTTGATTAGAACATTTGGATGAAATGTTGTTCAGTAAGATTTGGAAGCCCTCTGAACTGGATCCAGTCTGCAGGTTGGTACTTGCTCACCTCTTGGCTAGTGCATCCTATGCATGTTTAGGTCACCCAACTTCTACAATAGTGTTTCTTAAACTTTTTAAGACCATGCGAACTAGCGGTTTGTATGTGTAGCCCCTATTAAAGTTAATTCGAACTAACGGCCACCCTCACCATGTGGTGTCCCAAAGGAGCATGTGGGGGATGGGTTACCTCCCTCCCCCCACTCTGTCCTGAGATCCCCAGCCCCACTGCTTCCCTATCGCTGGAGGTGCCTTGTCCCTGGGGGGGATTCACCGTCATGGAAGAGGAAGATCAATGGTCCAGCCTTTCCTCCATCCTATCTCTGCCAGGGGCCCATCCTGGACTCTCCCAGCCATCCCCATGATGGACTTGGAGCCTGCTTCATAACCACTAAGGCAGCTACTTGCAGGGTAGACCTCACGGCGGGAGGGGGGAAGAGGTGCTGCACCAGGTAGGGTGGGGAGAAGGGTCTAGAGCCAAATGGTACTGTTCTAGAGGGGTCGAGAATGGATGGATCTGGATGTACATCACTCTAGCATGGATCTAGACAGGAATTGCTTCGTCGGCAGGAATCCTACATTGACCTAAGTGGACCCAGCAATGTCTTTGTGCATGTGCGTTGCTGAAGCGTGGACCTTGAAGAGTTCAGGGATAGCTCTAGATGGACAATTGTAGATATTCCATGGCAATGGATGGATCCCATCTATGATCAGGTCAGACCAGCCGATTGTCAGATAACATTACAAGGCTGGTTTATAGACTGTGTTGAGGGAAGAGAGAGATGTGGACAACTGGAAGGCATTTGCCAAAGTGCAACATGGCCTACAGATTGATGACACTTATTTTACCAAGACAATGATCATCAGCAAATTATGAGTTTTGGGTTGTGCCTTCCCAAGACACGCTTATGCATGAAATATATCGTAGTCCTTTTCTAGGGGTGAATATTGTGGCTACAGATATTCACAGGCCCTAGATAACACCCACTCAGTCCCAATTGCTGAGACTCCCCTATTCACCCCAAAGCCCCAGAAGCTGTACTCCAAACCCCAAAGCTATATTCATGAGCCTAAGACCTAGGGGCAAGCGGAAGGCCATGGGGAGCAGAGACATATCTGCACCTGTGTGTTCCAAGTCAGTGCAAGGACGGTGCATCTGCAATTGAAGGAGAGAGAAAACCTCGGGATCGCCCAAACACTCCTCCAAATACAGGACATGGACATCTGTGTTTCCTATCACAGCCAGCCACCCAGGCACAGGGGGAGGGCAAGTCATGTGTCAGATGGATATCTCAAAATCCCAAAAGCTGGATGGTTACTGCATGACTGAATCTCCGCACAGCTGGATGGACAATGCACTGCTGGCTGGAGAAGACCCTGCAGGGAGAGGACTCTCACGATCTAAGGCTGGACATAGATACATAGACAGACAGATAGATGGGATGGACTTGGGACTGGTAATCACTCACTTGGCTTTTCACATTTGAGTTCCCTTCACATATTTGTGCCCCGGGCACAGAGGGGGTTAAGACCGGGGCACTTGCGTCCCCACCTCCACACTGGGCTTGGAACCCCTGAGCCCAGCTGGGTCCAGCCATGACCCACCAGCCCAGTCTGACCCCATCCGAGCGGAGCCCGTCCATCCCCGGCGGGTACCGATGCTGCTCTGGATTTCACCGCTCGGGTTGCTCACTCGGTACCCGAATCACCTTTTTGGTACCATTTTTATTCACAACTGGGGATGTGGGAAGCAAGTGGTCAGCGCTGGGGACTGACCTGCAAACAGTTGAATGCAGAATTCCCAGAGTTCCCTTCCCAGAGCTGGGCTCCGTGCCTGGATGCTCAGGGCCTCGGTGCTACCTGAGCAGAGAGCCTTGGCTGAGGGAGGGGACCCAGCCATCCCTAGAAAAGCAGGTCTGAAATGTGGGCCAAGCCAAGACACAGAAGTGATGCAATTTCTGACTGTTCGGTGCTTTCTGGTGGGGCTCAGGACTGCAGATTCTTCATCGTCTTCTGGATCCAGGGCATGAAGGCGGAGACTCTTGTGTACATGGCGGGCGGAGTCCCAGTTTTGGAACCCCCGGAGACGATGCCCTGGGCTTTTTTCCCACACACGAGGGGGCCCCCGGAGTCACCCTGCGAAATGGAAAAAAATAGACAAAGAACAGTGACACTGCAGCTCCCCTTTCATTTGTACAGCCCCGAGCGCAGAGGGACCAACTCCCTGAGGCTTGACCTCCACCTCAGCAGCCTGACACCAACCACCAGTTTTGCAAGGGAGCCTGCAGGCGGGGGTAGGGAGCGGGATTTACTTTGGAAGAACTGCTGCCTTCGTCTGGGTCCCCCACACACATCATGGTGGTGGCGTCGTAGTAGGGGTAGGGCCCATCCTGGTTCCTTGGACAACCGGCATCCTCCATCACCGCCACGTCGGCCTCCCACAGCGTGTCTGACATCTGCTTCTTCTCTAGACTAGTCCTGCCCCAGCCAGCGACGCTGCACTTGGTCTTCGGACGCACTCGCTGCTTGGCCGGGGGCAGCTTGATGAAGTCCACATATTTATTGTGATGAGCTTCACCCTGCAGCTACACACAGCCAGGGACACAAGCACAAGGAAGAATACGAGGCTCACCAGGCCAATGAGGAAGAACCCACAGAAAATGCACAGCCACGAGTTCACTAGGGTTCGGTTGATGGGATGGGGGTGGTACCTGCAGCAGTGTGAGGTCACTGGGGGTGGGGGATGGGATGGGGTGGTACCTGCAGTATCATGATGTCGTTATTTTTAGTTTTATCATCGTACTGAGGGTGGGGGATCTGCCGTTGCACTTGGATCACTTGCTGGCTCGGTTCCCATTGGCTGATGTTGTGGGCTCCCAGGACGACATTGATTTTTCTGTGAAAGCTGAGAGCAGCACGTGGGGCGTTAGGGGCAGGGGTCGGCCATGACTATTTCTGGCTCATCAATTCTGACCTTGTGGGCTCTCAGGCCACGTCTCAGATTCTTTCTGGTGCCTTTGAGCTCCCCCCCAGCCAATTCCCCCCTCCCAGCTAGATCCATGCCCAGCCCCCAGCCTGGGGCTTTGACTCCTCCCTGCCCCACAGTTTAGTCCCACTGATTTACCCAGTGCTGGGGCTGGGCTGTGGGTTGCAGAGGCCCCTAGAGACTCGCCAACACCCCTTGAACAGGTCAGTCCCCTGGGCTCTGACCCTTCCCGGCCCCCCACGCCAGCACCAGGCATCTTTGTTCTCCATCTCCCACTAACCCCACCTGTCCCCATGTCCCAGCCCAGAGGCACTTACTCTCCCTGGCAGTGAGCGGCCGTCAGCACAATGTTTGGCTTCACCAGGAACCCAGCACACTTAGACCACTTCTGTCCATGTTGTATATACAAGTAGGCCATGTAGGGCCTGGAGTGGGGCTCGGCTTCCTGGCCCCCGATGATCTGTCCTGGGGGGGGGATCAGATTCACACAAAGAAACCCCTCACCTCCCTGTGCATGGAGAGTGTTCGCACCCTGATGACTTCTCTTTCTCCATCAGCCCACAGCAGCTGGACTGTGCAAAGCCCGACCTCCCAAGTGCCTGGGCCCATGGAAAATCATGGGTTTTACTAAAGGTGTATTGCTCAGAAAGCCTCGTCTGGCCCCTGCCCCATTGCCTGTGGCCAAAACCTTGTGTGCTGCTCTCATTGTGCAGATGGGGAAACCGAGGCCCAACCAGATGGTTTCTAATTCTGGATGCTCGACTCTTCTCACCACGGCATCAAAATCCCAACCTTGGGGAGTCAGCCCAACGTTCCCACTGGGAGGCGAGATCTGATCCCAAATCTCCTTCGTCCCAGCAAAGCACTTAACCTGCTCCCACGCAGAATGGGCCGGGGTTGGAGTCACAGGGTGGGGGGTCCCCAGGCCCTGCCCCCCATCCGCAGCCAGAGGTGAGTCTCCGCCGGCAGGTAGAAGAGAAGGTGTATTGGGTCACAGGGACACAGTGGAGCACAGGGTGGATGTTCACACAGGGACCAAGAACAGGCAGGACTATTCCTCTCGGGGAGAAGGGGGCTCAGGCCCTGAACCCCCCTTTCCGGCTCTAAGCCTCTTCTCTCGTCCTCACCCAGCCAAGACTGCCCCTTCTCCCAGGCTCTAGTCCCCAGGCTGGGGTCAGCCCCCTTCCCAGGCAGATGTTATCTCCTGTGCCCTCCGGTGTGAGGCTGAATCCACCTCTGCAGTGAGTCACCCCTCTTCTCCAGACAGTGCTGCCATGCCCAGGACAGAGGATCCACACACAACACACAAAGCAACACAACCTCTTCTATGTCACAGCAGATTCCTCCCTACACTGGCGCCTGCCCGCCCGCCACACTGCCACAGATGGAGGCCACCCCGCTAGGCTTCGAGACCCCGAATTCTCCATGATTCCTGCCAACATCTCAGCCCCAGGCCCGTTGTCCCCCAGCTCGCTGGTCCCGGGGGTCACGTTAGACCCAGCCAGACCTTTGCTGCCTCAAGCGCCTGCCTTTTGGGTTTTGTCCTGCCGTGGCCACTGAGGATTTCGAGCCCCCTGCTCTCAGAAACTCCCTCCCCATGGAGGGTCCTACAGACGGGGGCAAGTTCTCGCTTTGCCTCCAATCTCCTCAGGAGATCACTGGCCTGGGAGCTCTCCCAGCCAGACAAGGTCTCCTGGTCTTGGCTGTTTCTTTCCAATTTGCCACCATCCTGCCAGGCATGTGGACACCAGACCAGGCTGCAATGTCTACTTATGGTCCCACTGACACGGTGTCCAGAGATGGCCCCACCTTCCCTGGCTTATGTCCACTGATCTAGAGCCTCAGGAGCTCGTATCTGGTTGGCTTCCACCAGAACTTCCAAGTCCCAGAACAACATGGCACCCAACCCCAACAATAACATTGGCTCGTCTCCTCCCTAGGAGCTGAACCCGCTGGTCTCCCAGGGATGGGAGGGGGAGGCCACATCTCCCCGGCACCGCAGACCATCTTGGCCTTAAGACCATCACCCTCCACCCCACTGCAAGCGAGTGTGAGCTCTGAGGAGAGCCTTGGAAGATCGAGGGAAGAACAGACCCGTCCCCCGTCACCCTCAGTGATGGGCAAAGATCATGCTCTGCAGACCCACATGGTCACTGCTGGCTGCTGCACACACTTGAAACATGTCTGAGTAACACCCTGCTGTATAATCTTATCACTTTACCTGCTATTTTCTCGGGACACTAATGGGCAGCAAATTATGAGTTTTTGGGTGTACTTTTCGAGGCACACTTGGAATAAAATTTATCGTAATACTGTATAAGTGGTGAATAAAGGGGTACAATCTGTCACAGGCCCTAAGGTAACACACACAGAACCGAGTCCCTGAGAACCTCTGTTCACTCCAAACTCCAGGTGCCCCACACCCAGCTGTACTCACCAGCCCAAGTCCCAGGGGGCAGGAGAACGGCCATGGGGAGCAGAAACAAGCAGTAAACCTGCATGTCTGCAGTCAGTGCAGAGACGGTGCCTCTGCCGCAGACCTGCAGAGTTTATAGGCTTAGCTCGGGGGAGGGATTCAAGGGGGCAGGAAACCTCAAGGTCACATGTACACTCATCTAACTGCAGGGCTCAGGTGTCTGTTTCCAACCCCACGGGCTGGGGGGAAGGATAGAACATGAGTCAGCCCAGTAGCTGGGTCCGTGCACAGCCGGCCGGGTGATGCCCCATTGGATGGAGAAGACCCCGGTGGGGACGTGTCCAGCAGGGTCCGGGGTTGCTCTGAGTGCAGGCTCCCAGCTGGGCACATCTAGGACTCGGACTCACCTGGCCATACCCTCACTGAGCTCCCTGCCCATGTATCTGTACTGGGGCTTGGAGGTGACAGGGACTGAGCTCGGTTGGGAACGGGGCCCTCTGATCAGTCTTAGGGTGGGCCAGATGTGAGCCAGCTGGCACTGGGCAAAGCAGGTATCAGCGCTCATCACAGCAACTGCAGGGGGAGAGTTTCTGAGAAGCCCTGCAGGGAGGCTGTGACCATGTGACGGGGATGCGGCTGTTTCTGTGACATCCGGAACCTGAGAGCTGTGACCGTACAGAGGGAAATGACACAGCAGAGAGACACGTAGCCCCTGGGAGACCCGGCTTGCAGCTCCCCTCCATTTCGCTATGCCCCGCTCTAACCGCTAGACCTCACTCCCTTCCCAGAGCTGGGGAGAGAGCCCCGGAGACCTGGCTCCCAGACAACTCAGGGCTGCTAGGAACACCCTCCGAACTGCTGCCCTCCTTGTACAGGGGACAGTTTGTGCCAAATGGTGATATACTCCCCTCCTTCCCAAGCCAGGCCGGTCTCAGCCCCAAGAAAGTTACTGCACCCAAGGCCCAGCTGCCCTGGGGTTCTGCCCTGCCGGGTGGGGGTGGGAGGCTCCACTGGAAGCTGGAATTTCCTCCAGCCACGTGCTCCGTGTGCGACATGAGTGCGGGGGCTGGATCAGGGAGAACATCTCTAACCTCATCTACAGCGTCTGTACCTGGAATTACCGCCCAGGGGATCTCTCAACCCAGGGCCGGCCCGTTCCCGGAGGAGGGATTGATCTGTGTTACCTGGCCAGCCAGGTATGGAAGCAGAGGTGGGTCCCTGACAGGCCCCGGACGCTGCTGTTAGCTTAGAACTGACAAACTCCTCACTTGAGACCAGGCTGCTCAGCTGGGTGCGAGTTTCCCTCACGCTGGGGCCAGCCTGACCAACCCCACTTCCCGGGCAGACCCTGAGGTGCCTGGAAGTCGCCCCTGTGCTCACCTCCCACGCTGGTACCCTGTGCTGAGCGGTGTGGGGACAGCTGCGTTTGGCTTTCTTACATGGGCCAGGTTGGCTCAGAACTGGGGACCCCCCCCCAGATTTCCAGTGTGACTGCACCATGTGCTACCAGATGCATTTTGTCTGCAACCTCTTCCAGCTCTGCCTCAGTACAAGCCGGTTGTCAGAGCCTGGGGGAGGCCGTGACAGGGGCCAGGCCTGGGAACCACTGAGGCACATTGACA